AATAGCGATAAATATATATAGCAAAATTACTCTTTACATACAACTGATACAACAAATAAAACTATTTTTGTCTTTGGGAGCAGGTTATCTAATTATGCCCAGCATCTTCACAAATCTTATAATGCAATTTGTGGTTTGTCTTTTTTGATGGCTCATCTGCACGTCTTATTTTATCACTTCCCTTTGGTCGACCTTTTTCTTTACGTTTATGAGGATTCATTAACTCACTTGGATCTAACCTCCCATTATCAATTTCAACTTTATCTTTACTACCTAAGTCTATATCATTATCAGATGATACCTCTTGGCAGTCATTTAAATATTTATCAAAGATAGTAATAAAATTATAATTGTGCTTCTAAACTGCTACTATTAATGCAGCTCTTGCTTTACCCCAAGCCTCTCCATATAGCTTTCTTTCATTAATTACTTTGTGGTTTATATTATACACTTCCTTAACTAAAACATTAAGATAAGGGATTGGACCATTTTAACTCATCGTTATTGGTTCTTCCATTTCAAATTTTTGTGCAACCAAAAATGGTTCTTTGGTAGAATTATTGGTTACATTATTATTATCATTATATTATCAGGGTCATATTAGCTGAATATAGAATTTTGCAGTCTGTATATATAGCATTATTTGAAAAAATGCTAGCAAATGATCCCACGATTGCAGTGGTTAAAACAAGAACATAAATGAGTTCCATCATCCAAAAGTATTACAAAATACTATATTTCATTTGATATTATTCATTAAATTCCTCATATTTCCACAATCTTATCTTTGTTAACAAGATTAAGCATTAACTTGGCCATGATATTGATAAAATTTAGATTTTCACCAAATAAGTCAGGATCATTAACATTAATCTAAAAATTTATAATGATAATGATACTGTTAATCTTAAAAAATTTTCAAGAAAAGCAACTAGATTTTTATTTACTGTGAGAAACCTTTGCAGCTCATTTGTTACTATTTTTACACCACGGTAATGAAGTGCTTGTTTTATTTGATCTTCTTAGATCTTTAATATTTCAGCAGTAAGATATTTATGCAGCATATTACAAATGTTTGGTAGAATAGTATCAGCCATTGCAGTCAGAACAGTCTTGAAAATTGATGTACGAAATAAAGCATATTCTGTCTTTTATCTTCTTCGAGAATACATACTGATAGTTTTTCTGCTAGCTCTAACAATGTCATATTGAACTTAAATATTAATCTTTTTAATCTTTGCATTATAGCTTTCAACATAAAAAGTTAAAGACATTCTAGCTATGAACAATTTAAGTACAAATGCTTTTGCCTATAATTCCTTATTGGTATAAAGTATTTGTTATAAGTAGCTAACTACATTTTCAATGTTATACTTGTTAAGTAGATATTTCTACTAATATTCAAAGATTGCTATAAAGCTACTTTGTTGTACTTCGAAAAAATCCTTGATGAACTCATTATAGTGGTCTCTGAGAATATTTTTTAAATTAAGGAAAAGATTTTGTGCAATATGGAACATACAATGAAGGGCATGTGTTGTCAGAAATTCATCTCTTATTGCAGCAATTAAAGTGGGGTCTGTATTAGTAAAGATGATATAAAGAACAGCTTCAAAAGTTGCTTTTTTAATTTGTCACAATATTCATGTGTGTACTTCCTTTGTCTCATCATCAGTCAAAGCCTAAGCTACCAAACGGGAAGATAAATGGTTGTCAACTATCAAAAAAAGTGACAATACCGTTTCATAATGATTTGTAACAGCAGTATTGTCATTTAAAATAATGTCTCTAAACTTTAACTATTATTCAATTTGATCAGGTGATATATAAAACTGTTAGCGAAGACATTTACTATGAGAGTTTTACTCTACTTTAACATACTATTGGGGATTGGTTTCTTTTTTTTTCAACAATTCTTCATATAAACGGCTAGCATCATTTGTTTGATTATGCAGTTTTGGGCAAAAATGTTGAATTACCCAATGCAAAACAGGTATGTAAACTTTTAAGAAATATTTTTCTTCTAAAGCTCTGTGAATTTGTTGGAG